CCCCTTTTTCCTTCAGGGAGGCCCTCGCATTCAACTCACAGCAGCTGGGGAGCGCTTTGAGGCAAAGGAGTGGCCCGGAGACCGGGGGAGTTTTTAAAGATGTAATGGGGTGGGGGGGATCTTTTTGATTCGCCTACTCATAATCTGGCACACGCCTGTGACAAAGAAACCCCTAGCCTGTCAGTCTTTGATCCAAATTAGCAGTGTGAGGCCTGGTGTGTGAGGGGTGTTCCTGCCTATTTAAGTCTTTTCTGTAGATGTGTAGGATAGAATAAGGGGGTCGACATGTGGCTGGAGACAGCAGGTTGTTTACTCAGATGTGGTTATAATGCTAAAGCAGGGTTTGTCCTGGAGAAGTGTATATGGTATACTGTGAGGCTGAAACTATTTTCTTTGTTAATGTGTGCATGAAAAATTGATTTTTCTTGCATTGCCTGCCAAGATGTGATTCTGCAGTTCAAAATTTTACTAAATCAGTTTTATCCAATACCTTCGCCAACTTGCTCTTCATCTATTGCAGAGGTCTTCAACGGGAGGTCCGTGACCCCTATGGGGTCTGTGGAGGTACTGCATGGGGGTCGCAAAAGTTTTGGTTGATTAGACTTTTTGTTTGATATTCTCCCCTGCAATTTATTTCCACTAATTGAAATGTCTCTAAATACACATTAACATGAATTAAGATTAACACTGAAGTAAACAGATAAATGGAGGCAGAAGATGTCTTTCAGTCATCAATGCACACATTCAGTGACACACAGGAGCTCTTTCAAGCTGGGCACCATTTCATTCACAACACCTGTCCATCAACCAGGAATCAGAATCAGAAATAATTTAATAATCCCAGGAAAAAATGATTTTCGTTACATGACTTCATCTGTAAAAGAGTTACTATAGGACCAGTTTGATATAACACAATTTCAAACAATATATATATTTAGGGGAACCTTGCTCCATCTTACCATCAGTTTGGGGGTCCTTAGCCTGGAAAACATTGAAGACCCCTGATCTATTGTGTAACACACTTTCCTGATGTTTCTACTTTTTAGCTCATTAGTGCCTTTAAAAGGTGTTCACAGCAGTAACACTTATTTGTTTAGGTGATAAACAAACTCATGGACACTTGGCTGGCTCCTTCAGAGTTTTTGAACAGATCCACAAGTCAGGTTTTTCCTACATAGTGTTCATCCTGCCATTTTTTTCTATCAGACACATTGTCTTTAGAACATTTAAACCAGCAAGCATACTGAGCTGTTCACATGGCTTAGGCTTAAGGTCAGTTTACCCTATCACCATTTTGAACCCCTATGTAACACTCATGTATTGTTGTTTCACGCGAATTTAGTGTAAACATCAAATTATTTTCCAGACTCAGAATTCCTGAGTTTTCAATCCTCATTTATAAAACTTCAAGTTTCATTTTGTACAACTAGCAGATAGACGGGCTCCATGTGGCTGCAAAATATCTAAACAGAGGGAATCAGGAGAAGAACACAGGAAAAGATCTGAGAACAATACAAAAGAAAGGAATGATAGGCAAGGCAAGGCAAGGCAAATTTATTTGTATAGCACTATTCAGTACAAAGACAATGCAAAGTGCTTTACATGATTAAAATATAGGAAAATAAAAAAGAGTCAAAGCAAGTAGGAAAAAAAATAAAATAAAAAAGGCAGAAGCAAAAAAGAACATTAAAAACAGTTGGACAAAAGAAAATAAAAGTTGAACTAATATAATATAATATAATATATAATATACTGATATGAAGAAGAAAGGAGGCAAGGACCAAACTCTTGTTCATGTCGACATTTGTATCATGGGTGGTAGCAGAGCCAACAGTTAAAAAAGTAAAAAAAATCTTTTTTGCATTGTGATATTCTTGCTTACTTGCTCTGGTGCCAATTACATTTAAAAAGTTAAACCAGTTATTAAAAAAAAAAAAAAAAAAAGTTTGTCTGTCATCCATCCATCACCCAGGATAAACTAAAAACATAAACATTTCTATGGATAAAATTTGTGAATGGTCTAAGGAGGTGATAATCTTTTAATCTTAAGGGTTATCTAACATGTTGGCACTGAACACCTATAGTTCAAATAACACGTGCAATTTGAATAAAGAGGACAAAATAGTTAGCTTGAATGCATCTCTCAGGAGCAAAATACTTTTTGAAAGCATAGAAGGGAAGGTTGGCTTCATTTGCCTTAACTACAAACTGCCACAAAGAAAGGAGAAGTTCCTTTTCCCAGACAAACAAATTCTACCGCACCCAGAGGATTGTTAAACAAACTGTTTCAACGGTGATCTGGAAAATACAGAAAGGGGAAGTACAACCGTCCCTTTATTATGCACTGTGTTTTGTGATAGAGTGGCCACTTTGTCATTATTCATGTGTCTGTGGTGCCTCAGGCCCTGTTATGAATGAATCAGTCCCCCGAGGCCTGCTGTGAACCCAGAGGGTCAGGAGATGAGATGCAGGCTATGCTGTGGCTGAACACGCTTGTCACTGTAGATTGTCCTCACAGAGGACAGGAGAACATTTATTTAACACAAAGTGGACTTTAGGTCCATGCAGAACATTCACTTTCCAGGCTCACAGCTCCTACTGCAATTTACTTAGCTGGAAAAGCAAAGACATTTTTAAAATTAAAATTAAATATAATTCTGAAATTGAGTTCTGTTCCAAATTGGTAACTGCACCTCAGTGATGGTTCTACTACAGAAAACTATCTCTAACTTAAAAATTTAAAATGAATCTGAGGGATATTTCATTTGAATATGGAAAAGGGCTCTCCACCCTGTGCTTTTAGTAGATCTGATGCATTGAATGCTGCAGCTTTGGGCTTTTAAGTTTTAAAGGTTGCTGGATCCCATTTTTAGCAGACACTTTAGAGTCTTTAGCTTCAGCAAGAGTTCTTACTTGATTCTGAGGCCAGAGCTGGAGAGAAGCTCTGGAAAATATTTAAAACGTGATATTTATTACATTATTATATGAAACTGAGGCGTTTTCAAGCCAAGCAAATCTCCTAGAGTGTTACTGAGGACAAAAACTGTATGGGGGCATTATGGGGTGAACTGTAAATTCCATCTTATGTATTTCCACTTCTTGCCTTACCAACTCCCAGACACACACACACACACACACACACACACACACATAAGGCACGTGGTCTGCACTGGGGGGAAAACAAAGACTTGCAATCAATTTCTTGTTTACATGTAAGAAACTGAGCAAGAGCGACATCTGGTGGCAATAATATGGAACTAAGTATTTTATTGTCTCCTGTATGGAAAATATAACAAGTGTTTTCTTTTTCTCTGCTGTTCTAGTTTAAGAATTACTATATGAGTTTATTGATATAACTCAAATGAAAGCGCTTCATTTTTTTTTATTATTATTTTGCACAGCGAAATTTTAAAATATGACAAATGTTTGGTATTGGTTGTATTCTAATTTTTTAAAACTCGACTTATTGTAATTGGATTTAATTGGGCAACTCCATTTTCCCCAGGAGAAATTCCCCAAATTTGCTCATATCTGGTAGAGATATATTAAAAATATAGGAAAAACTGCAACCTCAAATGACACCCTAGAGGATATAAAACACCACAAGAAAAATATTTAAAAAATGGAAAATTGGAATAAAAGGAGAAAAATTGAGCACTAGTTGAACATATTAAACATCTTTGAGAAAGAAAAAAAAACACATATGTGCATGGAAATGTAGGATGTAATATTTAGATAAAGAGGATCACTTGCCAGAGTATCAATGAAATTAGATGGAGTGGCGGCCTAGTGGTTAGGGCATAGAGCTTGTAATCCTGGGGTTCTGACTTCAAGCCCCACTCCCATAGACTGCCACTCTACGTCCCTGAGCAAGACCCTTAACCCCACACTGCTTCCCGGGCAACTCACAATGGCTGCCCACTGCTCCCCAAGGGGATTGGATAAATGCAGAGGTAAATATCTACAATGTGAGATCAATAAAGTTAAATTATTATTATTAAGAAAGGGACTTTCATAATAATAAAAGGAATTGTTTATTTTATTTCTGTATGTGATCTTGTTTTCTATGGAGGACCAACTCTGCCATATTTAAAAATATATACAGAAATAAACAAATGCTCAATAAATAAACAGGCATGCAATTAATTGCCCCCAAATATACAATAGACAAATAAATGTAGGTAGAAATTAAATTATACAGTGAGAAATAAATGTATGAATCTCGTTTAATTCGCTTCTTTATTTATAAGACAAACCCCTCCTCATTTACATATGGAGGCAGAAATGCATACAGAAATGTAAAAACACATGCAGAAATAAATAGCATTGAAGAAATAAATAGGGTAAAAAAAAATACAAAGCAAGAATAATACAGACAAAAATGTTATCACGTGCACATAAATAAATACCTTAAAAAATAAGTAATAAATAAAGCTGAAGATTATAATGGACAATAAATTAAAAAAAAAGTAATTATTACAAAGGGGAATAAATAAAGAAGCTAATTAAAATTTATATACACATTTATGTCTCAATGTACCATTTAATTTCTACCTAATTTATTTATTGTCTTTTGGGGGGTAATTAATTGTATGCTTTTTTATTTATTGAGCATTTATTTATTTCTGTATTTATTTTTAAATATGGCAGAGTTGGTTCTCCATAAAATCTGGCGAATAAATAAAGAAGCGAATTAAACGAGATTCATACATTTATTTCTCACTGTATAATTTAATTTCTACCTACATTTATTTGTCTATTGTATATTTGTGGGCAATTAATTATTGAGCATTTGTTTATTTCTGTATATATTTATAAATATGGCAGAGTTGGTCCTCCACAGATTGCACGAGGAAAACATGTGTACATATTTGACAAAGAAAAAATAAAAAGGAAAAAGCTCATGCAGTTAACTTTTTTTTTTTTTCCAGTGGCCCTAATCCTCTTCCGTAACATACTGCTTGACTGAGATTTAAAAAAACTATTTCAATCCCCCGACTGTCCGCATCCAAAGTTAGGCACTCGACTAGCTTTGACTTGAGCACCGAGAAATAGATCGGGCCTTAATTCTGAATTATTATTTTTTTCTTCTTCTTCTTCATAACGAATTAATGGAGTGTCTAGCATCTTTTGCAAGTAAGTGTTTGAGAAAACATACAGGTAAACTGTTGTTCCTTGAGTATTTGCATCCTTTTAACTTCCTCTACGTCGATACCTAAACAGACGTTAGCATTTAGCGGTAAAAAAAAAAAAAAAAAAGAAAGAAAAGCGCTACAACTGTCTAAAAACTAAAACAGTTCAGAAATGCTACGGTTCATATAATTACTGATGTATCAATTATACTCTAACTGGATAATGCTGCAAGTAAAACACGCTAAATATATATATAAAAGATAAGTTAAACGAGTCTAACGTTAGCATTTAGCTTTTGCTATAGTTCAATGCAAAACAATACAAATAGCATTGATGCTAAATCCATTTACACATTACAAGGATCTGTTTGTTGGGATAAGAGACACAACTGTGGCTACGTAATATTTAAAAGATTTAAGACTAGCAGACCTAGCAGTTATGGGGTTTATATTCGATGATTGTTTTTTTGTGAATCTAAGTCGGTTTATTTACACGATCTAAAGATGTACTGTAACCACTGGCTTTATTGATGATGTTCCTTATTGCAGATGATCCCTTTGATAAACCACCATGCAGGGGCTGCTCTTCATATTTAACTGAGCCATACATCAAGTGTGCTGAATGTGGACCTTCACCATTTCTCCTCTGCCTCCAGGTTAGCAGCAAACAAACTGTTGGTTCATTAACAATCCACTCGGACTGTCATTCAGATGAATGGTTGTACAGTTCCTTATCAAAATATTAGCATATTGTGATAAAGTTCATTATTTTCCATAATGTAATGATAAAACTTAAACATTCATATATTTTAGATTCATTGCACACTAACTGAAACATTTCAGGTCTTTTATTATCTTAATACGGATGATTTTGGCATACAGCTCATGAAAATCCAAAATTCCTATCTCACAAAATTAGGATACCATGAAAAAGGTCTATGCACCTAATCATCTGCATCAAATTAACTCTAAACACCTGCAAAAGATTCCTGCGGCACTTAAAACCCCAAAATATGGGTAAGACTGCCGACCTGACTGCTATCCAGAAGGCCATCATTGACACCCTCAAGCAAGAGGGTATGACACAGTAAGATATTTCTCAATGAATAGGCTGTTTCCCAGAGTGCTGCATCAAGGCACCTCAGTGGGAAGTCTGTAGGAAGCGAAAAGTGTGGCAGAAAAAGCTGCACAATGAAAAGAGGTGACTGGACCCTGAGGAAGATTGTGGAGAAGGCCTGATTGCAGACCGTGCACAGGCGTGTGCAGGAAATGGGCTACAGGTGCCACATTCCCCAGGTCAAGCCACTTTTGATCCAAAAAAGGGCGGCAGAGGTGCCTAACCTGGGCTACAGAGAAGCAGCACTGGACTATTGCTCAGTTTTACATGTCATTTGGAAATCAAGGTGTCAGAGTCTGGAGGAAGACTGGGGAGAAGGAAATGGCAGAAGTCCAGTGTCAAGTACCCACATCCAGTGATGGTCAGGGGTGCCATGTCAGCTGCTGGTGTTGGTCCACTGTGTTTTATCAAAGGCAGGGTCAATGCAGCTAGCTATCAGGAGATTCTGGAGAACTTCATGCTTCCATATCTGCTGAAAAGCTTTATGGAGATGAAGATTTCATTTTTCAGCATGACCTGGCACCTGCTCACAGTGCCAAAACCACTGGTAAATGGTTTACTGACCATGGTATCACTGTGCTTAATTGTCCTGCCAACTCTCCTCACCTGAACCCCGTAGAGAATCTGTGGGATATTGTAAAAGAAAGTTGAGAGACGCAAGACTCAACACTATGCATGAGCTAAAGGCCGCTATTGAAGAATCCTGGGCCTCCATAACACCTCAGCAGTGCCACAGGCTGATTGCCTCCATGCTAAAGCCGCATTGGACCTTGTTAGATAAGCACTGTCAAAAAAACTGTTAGAATAACTCAACTGATTTTTCTGTACATCAGATAACCATCATACAAACATAGGAGCTCAAGTTGTCTTTATACTTTCAGTGTTTCACCAGAGGGTTTGAGTACAAAAAACATCAGAGTGATCACAAATATGAAATAATGGTGAGTATCTTTCTTTTCTCTTCAGTGTTTCTCATCCCTCTATGAGATGTTTTATTACGCCTCTCCACCTTGCAGACATCAGACTTCCCAGTGTTGGAGCCAGGGTGGACGGCGCAGGAGGAGATGGCGCTGCTGGAAGCTGTTATGGACTGTGGCTTTGGGAACTGGTGAGCAGTGACTCACTTTTATTTTATTTTAGGTCTGCCTGCCTGATTGTTCATAAAACAACCTGGGTATTGTTTTTTTTTTCCCTTCGCCACACTCTTTTCTGTTATTATTTAAGGTTTCTGGGTTTTTGTCTTGAGTTTTATTGCTTTAGGGTTGAAACTCTTCATCACTGCGCTAACACACTGCTATTGTTTGAGCTCAACTTAAATATGAAATATTTTTGTTTTGGCTCTGAATGCAAAAAGCTTTTAGATTTTCAGTGTTTTCAGTTTGGAAAGATATATTTGTATTCCACACTTTCTCCACTATTCCCTTGTTTTATTATGGTCTCTGTCCTTATAGTTATTTCTCCTTTTACCGTTTCATTTGCCTCACAGCTAAAACTTTGTGACTCATTTTATCTTGTACTCTTACACTCAATAAATACAAGCAGACATAATGTTTCGTTCTTTTCTGCAACTTTCAGCGTCTAAAATCTGTTTAAAAATCCTTCCTTAGTGGATTGAAATTATGCCTTTTTCTTTTGTTTTGCTTTGTTCTTCTTCAGGCAGGACGTAGCTTATCAGATGCGCACTAAAACCAAAGAAGAATGTGAAAGCCACTACATGAAGAATTTCATCCATAACCCACTCTTCTCCTCCACCTTGCTCAGCCTAAGGAAAACAAAAGACTCTCGTTTTGCAGATGGAGCTATTCCTTTTAAGCGTAAGCAGGCACCTGCTTCACTTCTTTTATGTTTCTTTAAACATAAAACTGCATTAACTCAGGAAACTTTTTCTGAATTTCCTTTGAAAATCATTTATCAGGATTTTTTTTTCCTCCACTTAAAGGTTACATGCTAAAACTTCCTAATGTTTTAATTCTAGAGGTTTTAAGAACTATCCTGGAAATGAGTTGTACAACAAAATGGATCCACAGTTATGAGATCTTAAAGCTACAGGTTTAGCTCCTGCTGGTCAGTCAGTGGAGCAAACATTTAACTTAGCTGTTATACTGTTTCTCAGCTCTGTCTAATGGCGTCTGACTTTATCCAATGTCCTTTTATGTCGACATTGGCCACATAGCCTTTGATTCAAGTTTTTTGTTCTTTCAATTTAAGCAATATAGCAGATTTTACTATGAGTTTATTTTCAATAAAAGAAAGCAGATCTTACATTTTTTTAAGCAAACTGGGAGATCCTTGGCTGCTTTATCCTAAACCCTCTGAGAAACCTTTGAGATAGTTTACAAGGTAATATTAGGAATTATTAGATAAATAATAAAATTTTATAATATTCCAGGTCTAAATAAATTATGGAAAAGGTTACAGACTTTATTCTTTCTTTTAATATCAGGTGAAAAATTAAAATCAACTTTATAGTTTTGTATACTTTGATTTCAATTTAATTAAGGACCTTTATTTGTTATGTTTCGCAGATTCATACAATAAAGTTTTATCCAACTCATTGATCATCCTGATTTTTGAGTTACTTAGTTTTGGTTGCATTTTATTCTTTATCTTGTGTAGATGCCTGTATTGAAACGCCTATCTTTTCTTAAAAAAAAAATAAACTCTACCAAATGTGTGCTAAATGTTAATAATATTCAGTGGATTTATTAATGATGCCTAAAGGGCCTTCAAATTGCCTTTTATGACTCGACTATAATGAAAACCAACAACTGTGTTTTTTTTTTAAAGCGCAGGACATATAAATATTGAAGCACGTGCAGATTTTCTTTTTGTTCTCTAATTATAACAAAAAAAACTGACAGAAGAAAGAAAGACATTTAGAAAAAGGAGTCATGAAATGCATGGAAGCTTCTGCCTACAGCTTTGTGAAAGAAAACTAGCCTATCATATTTCTAAACATTAAAACTCTGAAGCTGGTGTCGGTGTTTTATTCTGCCTCTTCTTCCTCTGACTCCACAGCCTCTGATGACCCCCCTCGGCCAAACTTTGACTCGGTGCTGTCTCGAGACATGGCAGGATACATGCCAGCCAGAGCAGACTTCATGGAGGTGGGAAGACATCACTCTTTACATACAATGAATAAGTACAACCACCACTAGCAGGCTTAGTGTTAAATGATTTGAAATAGTGACTTATGACTTTGTTTTCACCTCGCAGTGTCATAGTATCCTCATTATTGATGGGTTGCATGGAAACTTAAATCAGGCTAGCAGATACTGGCAGTCATTTTAATCTCTCTCCTAGGAGTTTGACAACTACGCAGAATGGGATCTCAAAGACATTGACTTTGTGGATGATGACTCAGATGTACTGCACTGTAAGTGTACCACTTTCAAAGATAATTTTGTTTTTGTTGGTACCTACAGCATCACACTTAATACTTAAACTTTCTACTCTGTCCTTGTTTACAGCTCTCAAGCTTGCAGTCGTTGATATTTATCATTCAAGATTAAAAGAGAGACAAAGAAGGAAGAAGTAGGTGTTTATTATTCATTTATAAAGTGATGAGAATGTAGTCAGTAGTGTGCAGTAATCTCATTCTTTCAGCAGAGGGCATCATTACCTTCTGTTTTCACCAGTTGGAGCCTCCATTGCTTTTACCATTTTTCAAACCACACCATTTCAGACAACTCTGTGCTTACTTAGTTTCTGCTGAGTCCATGCACTGATGATGTTTTCATAACATTGCAGGGTATTTTGTCAAAAGCACCACCCCTCGAGAAATGGGCTCATAAGTAAATGGGTTGCTGCTAATTTTCCACCATAAAGCCTGGGTCTTTATTTGCTGCTTTACATCAAGCCTTATGGATGAATTTATATGGACATCAGAGTAATGCATGTCAACCTGGAGAGACTCCAACAGAGAAAAGCTGCAATTAGAAAAGTTTTATTGACATGAATTAAATTAGTTATCTGGCGCTTGGACCCTGGCAGAAGACTTGATGCTGTGAATCAACATTGGCTTGGATGAAAAAAGGTGCCATGGCCGAGCAAGGAGAATAGACCTATAAGCCGTGGTGCAAAGGGATAGAAATTAGTGAAGAGGCAGAGCAGCACAGCTGACTCTGATAGCGAGCCACATGGAAAGACGCGGAGAGACGGAACATGCTGATAGAGACACGGTTAAATAGAAAAAGACTAATGGAGAGAAAATGGGAGGCACCACTGAAATGGAAAATCATGATAGTTAGGGGTGTAAATAATAATCGTTTTGTATCGATGCATCGATCCAACAGCCGACGATCCGATGCATCGATACGTCCACAAGAGTATAGATTCATGTTTTTTTTTTTTTTTTTTCCTCCGGTCTATTTTTTATCCATTTGCTCCTGGACGTAATTCTCCCTCCCGTGCTGCAGTGGCGCTAAACCCATTTTGCCCTCCTACTTCGCTTCCTGGTTATACTCTTACAGCAGTGTGTTGCAGTAAGCTTGACACAGACGTTTTTGATTTATGCTCAATGATGAAGCTTGGTCTATGCTACACACTGTGGGTCTAGATACGGCCGAGGCGGAGAGGAAGTGGGGGTGAGTTTAGTCCGATGACGGAGCATCATGAGGGACAAAAAGAGCGGAGATCCAGGTGGAAAAAGGGTCCCAGCGTTCTCCCTCACCTCGCTCTTCTAACGGGTCAAACTTCACGAGTTGTTTTCTGCAATTTCGGGTCATAAAAACAAAACAAGCTGGCCTCCTGTCTGCGGCACTGTTTGCGGTTAGCTACAATTTGGGAGAGGAGCAGCGGAGCGTCTGTGGAGGGGGCGAGGACGTCTGGAGCCGAGGTATTGCATTGCACTCATTGCACTGATTTTGTGCAGTATTTTTTGATGAAAGGCCTATCAGAATCTATAACGCAGGGGTATTATTACTTTTCAGTGAATGGGGTTTTAATAGTAATAGGTGGAGTGCAACTGTTAAAAAAAAAAAGAAAAAAGAACCAATTAATCGAATCGTATCGCGGTGTATTCTTGAGTATTGAAAATAATCAAATCGTTGGGTCAGGAAATCGATACTGAATCGAATCACCATGATGGGTGTGATTTACACCCCTAAGATGATGAGGGCTGGTTGAGTGATTATGTGCTGGATGAGTTTGCGTCGATGGACTAAAAGCCTGCAGGCGTAAAGAAAAGCAGAAAAGGTTTGATGACTTGATCGGATGCTACACGATCTAAAATAGCGAAAGCCTAAATGGCAATTGCAGCGAGCATGTTAACTGACAAAGCTTTTTTTCTCATCATCACGAATGTTTACTAAACTTACAGTTTGAAGGTTTCAGGCATGAAGTGTTCTACATCTTTTTGAGCCCGCTGAACTCAGATGAGTTTGAACAGATTCAGGGACACATTCATACGTGTCTAGTAAGGAATTTGGGTTCCAGTAACTTGAAACATATTTTTTTTACCGGATAATGAGGAAAATCAATCAATAAATGTTCGGTTGATTGGGTAGGCGGGGGCGGTTTTCATGCGGTTACACTATAGCATTATTATTCGGTTATGGTTGCAGTATTGGGTTCAAAGCATTCAAGTCAATAATGCGTCAGACTGCATAAAGGAACTTACCTTTGCTTTTTAAATATCTATATTAACTTCAGTTTCTAAATGTAACCAAAGAGACTTCTCAAGTTAAGTTAACTAGCAATACAAGGCAGTGGGTGAACTGTCGATTTTAAGTTAAACCAAGATACGGAGAATTAGTTACCGAAATATTTGAATGGAAATGATAAAGCATCAATTTGAATTTCCGAAATCTAAAGCAATGGACTGAAAGAGAAGTTGAAACAACAATAGGAAATCTATGTTGATTCATCTATCAAAAGCAACACATAATCTGCTGATAATTCAGAACATGAAGTGCATTGGAATTCATCTCCCTTTATTCTGATCACCCTTAATCTAATCCACTTCACCTCATTGTCTTTTTAAATGACTTAAACATGTAAAGCAGGATTAGGTTATGATACAATATTTTAAGCTTTGCCATTTTCACAGAGCATGTTCAGTGCTTTATCCAATAATAGGAAGAGAATGGCACAAGTGCATGCCTACCAAGACAGGGCTCAACTGTAAGATCTTTAATCAGAGGAAAACCTAAGAGGCTGATAGTAAATCTGGAGGCATTGCAGAGATTTACTATTATGGTGGAAAAATCTGGCAGCAAGAAAAAGGTTAGACATAGTGTTGAAAACCTGGCCTTTATGGAGGAGAGGCATTAAAAAGCCAGAAGGTCATGTTTAAGTTCATACTGTAAATTCCAAGCTCTATTCAAGTCTTATCCCTCTTCAATTTTTTTTCCACACTGGATGTTGGACCTTTCTTCATTATATGTTACACTGGCTCACCTCTGTTTCTTTACCTTGTTTACCAGTTTGCACATTTGCCATGTGTTACCTCCAGTCACATGGCGGTGCTATGGGAAATATACACAGAAGGGCTTTGTTTACTGACAAACTGAGCAAAAAGATTAAAATAACAAATAATACACCAGTAGGGCACAGTAATTTTTTGTATGCAGCTAAAATGAGTGGCTGTCTTATAAATTTGAAGTCATATAATGAACCTATGCCCCTTTAGATTATTGTTGCAGATTTATGCTGTAGAGTAACTTTTCCTCTGCAGGGACAGGGTGGATGGAAAGACAGAAGAAGCTAAATGCAGGACATGATGCAACTTTTTACAGGCTGCAAGGATGCAAAACCTAACACGGTGGTGGAGGTCCACCTTTTAGCAGGATAGTGGGATTTACACAGAGCTGCAATGCAATGGTTTTCTAGTAAAGCATGTGCATGTGTGAGAATTGTCAGGTCAAAGTCATTGCCCAAGTCCAATGGAGAAGCTGTGGGGAAGACTTTAAATTTTCCTTTTATAGATTTACTTCACCCAGTCTGAGAGTGCTATGGACATTTAGCAAAGAAGGGTGGATAACAATTTTTTTTTCTGGATGTACATAGCTGGTATACAAATACGCTGAAAGACTTGTAGCTGTTATTAGTTCATATGGTGGTTCGTGCCACAAACTGTTGAATTAGCTTTTGAATCATTTATGTTTACCAAAATCTGAATTAAATGCATTGAAGTTTGTGGTTTTAACTTGATCAAATGTGAAGAAGTTTAGGTTGAGATTTCAATGTTTTAGAATACCACCACAGGTGAAATATATTAAGAATTTAGGCGTGAAGGACTGTTTTCTCCATTGTCCTCCTGTTAGCTGTCACACTTTGCAGATTGGCCTTGGTGCAGTGCATCCATCACCGAATCAACTTTAACGAGTTTGTATTCCCTCAACCCTGTGGAATGGCATGCTAGTCGGGGAAGGCATTTTCCAGCTACCTCCACCAGCCAAGATCCTATTTTATCCCTGCTAACTTGTCAGAGAGGATTGTAAGATCAGACCTGGAGCTCTGCAGCTGAAAGTCAGACCTGAAATTTATGAGCTTCTTCTGACCCAAAAGCCCTGAATTCTGTTTTGCAGAAACAGACTTGATGTTACCGCCAAATACTTCAATGTACCGTCAGGATTACATGTGATATGTATACTGAGAATAGATTACACCCAAGAGCATTTTATCTCTGATGTTGTGACTGCTGGTTACTGGTTGCACAGCATTTTATTTAGAGGCATCAGCATACAACTTTTTTAATTATAAACATTTTTAAAACTACCTCTCACTTTCCTTTTTTGTCACATTTATAAGCTGATTTGTGTGGAAAATGTAAATGCATTGAAGTTAATGATAAAGTATTCGGAGGAGTTAAAGTTTATTAAGTAGCTTCCAAACCCCATATTGTGATACTTTTCAATAATGTCTGCTGTCATTTTTGAATGACTGTTAAGTTCGATTTAGCAGTGCAATTTAACACTATTTTATTTTCATATTTTCAGCGCACTGTTAATTTGAATGCTCTTCTTTTATAGGCTGCCTTGGTGATTAAAGGATATTTTTCCAAACTGACCTGTTCATGTCTTTCAGGATCATCAGAGACCATGGTTTGATCAACCTGCGCAAATTCCAGAGTGAGTTCCCCTCTAAAACTCTTATGAGCTCTGCTGAGGTATTCACACAGGATCGGACAGACATTTCATATCTGGCTGCCAGATTGCTGCTCTGCTTTCTGAAAAATGTGTGCAAACCAAACTCTGCTGTAATAACCTTCAATCAGCGTACAGGCAGGGTTCATTTACTCCCCCGATGTGTTGAAAATGTTTAGTGTTTTCTGGTTCAGGATTTGTACGGAAAAAATAGATATTTATTTTTGTAGTACCGTATGTATCTTTTTTCACTCTTAAATTATCAAAATTCTGGACTTTATGATGTATTAGAAGTACTTTTTTTCCTGATTTTCACCAACCTAGAAAATAACTACAGCTTATTATTCAAATAAATACAAACTGCCAAATGTTCCTAAGAAAGCCCAACAAGGATCAAATACTCTGTTAAGGCTTCTAAAAAAACATCTGATCACCAGATTGATCGACTCCTTTTAACATCTGCCTGCTTTCAACCGTCTAACTAGAACTGTACCTAGAAAGACTGACTGTAATGATAATAAACTGTTGAATGAAGGAAGAGTACCTTCAAATATCTAAGCTTTGAGTCAGATCACAGTAGAAGTAGAATAGCTTGAAGAAGTAGAATACCTACAGATCACAGTAGAAGTAGAATAGCTTTGAAGGTTTAACCAGGTTAAAGCTGGGATGGGTTTAAATAAAGCAGCAGAGCTTCTAGAATAATGTTTAATCATAGAGAAAATAAACCAATTTAAAGGAAGTTACTGTCTACAAATTATGTTTGATCAATGTGATGCCTGCTAAGAAACATATGAGAGAACAGACAGTTTGACTCTATTAATCAGGCAAAATTCCACACAGTTTTAACTTCTACAGTATATTTTTATATTAATGTAATTAGCTACATAAATCATTTTCATGAGACATATCTTGAGTTTAGTTTAAAGTTATAGTGGAGGTTTTCTACACAAATTTTTTAAAAGACCCACCCGCTCCTTCTCAAAAAAAAAAAAAGCACATGCACAACCCTGTACCCGCTCCAGTGAGGGAACGCCTTTTAAACGCGTGCATGAGCCCATTTGTCCTCATGCACGCTCTATTTACAAGTAGCTGTTCTCAAAGCTAATACAAGCTTACTGTGTCTGAACGTCCGCCCTAAATCCCTCAATCACTATACAGAGCGGGGACTATAGTGGATTTCATAGTAAACTCTGTTAACTTACTTTTCGGGCAGATGATCACTACTTTTTACTCCCCATTGGTCACATAACTCCACTCCAAAGCGCGATTCCTGCGGCATCTTTGTTATTAGTCTCCACTGTCAGGTAGCGATAACCTATGGCGACAGCAGGCCACTGTGACAGCAAATCCCATAATGCTTTGCAAGGAGAGCTCTCTGCGCAAAGCATTCTGGGATATATCTGCCTCTTCTGAGGCCTTTCTTTTCTTCTCATACTCTTCGTAGACACTTTTACTCTTACAACCCTCGGTCATTTTAAAAGAACCGCGGTGAGACAGGTGAGCTTTCGATGGCTGAAATCGTAGCTCACCACATATATACGCCTGAAAGTGCGCATGCGCTGAATGCGCAGAATGATTGACAATTAGGAGGACCACTTATTTCGATGATCGACCCAGAAAAGAACATCCTCCACTATACCTTAAAATTATCTATCTAACTTATTGTAAGTTTAAGAAAAAAAAAGAGACAAACTGGAAACCAGATTAATGAAGCGCATCCAGTTCTGCTGTTTTTCTCATTTGTTGAAGAACGTTTTGTGGTTTTGCTTTTAATCATAATGGATGAGTAAGACCTTCACTTACTGCAACTATAAATAGCAAAATAATTACAGGCAATTTTCATGCTGGAACATAAAATGTAATTTTTCTAAATAAGCAGAAAAGGCTGGGGATCTTATCAACAAGCTGGCTGATGGAGGCGTTATGTAGTGTGGGAGTGGGCGTATTTATCGGTGTAACCTCACTCCCCGTCTGAAGGGCGTTGCTGCAGAGATGTCTGCACGGGTCCATGATCCACCTGTTACAGGTTGGATTTCACTGAGCTCAGTGATATAATTCTTTGCATCTCTGGGGGTTATTGCTTTTATGGCCAGTTTCTGCTATGGAAGGATTTTATCCAATTATAGAGCCTGGTACGTTTCCTGGAGGTGAGGGCTCCACGTGTTGCTCCGTGGAACAGTTTGTGGTCTGGGAGTCGGAATACTTCTCCTCTCATGTTTTATTGATGTTTCCCTTCAGCCCACCGGTTAGCCTTGCTCCCTTATCTCTGCAGCCTTTCAAGACAAAAGCCAACTCAGACTGGAGCTGCAAACCGGTTGCCATGGAGACTGTCAGAGTGTGTGTGTGTGTGGCCATGTATTTGTTACCATGTGGGGACAGTGTAAGGCCCATTTCCCAGGAATATGCTACATTGAGGAGACTTAAATGTACTTGCTCATGAGAAAACATTCTCTGCTTGGGTGGAGGTTAGGCTTAGGACTAAGGTGTGAATTGAGTTCAGGTTAGGTTTAGGGTTTAGGTATGTGTTTGTAATGCTTAGGGTTTGGATTAGGCCATAGAAATAAATGGAATTTGATAGAAAGTCCCTTGATATGTGTGTATTCGTGGGTTTGTCACATCCAATAAATGAAGTAGAACTCATAACCCCACAGGCTCAAGGTATCATGTCTCAGTACTTCTAGAATCAGAACCACAAGGGGATCAGGTTATTTTCTGCTGTTTGCAGTTAGAATTTGGATCCTGGTTTAAATCTGCACAGAGGTTTAATTTCCTCTGAGTTGTGGTTCAGTGTTTGTGTCCAGTGTTTTGTTAGAAGCATGACTTCATATACGCTCAGCTGGAGACAGCAGCTGTTAATTAGTGCTCACACGTCGCAGTCTGAACTCACAAAGAGCCTCTCCTCTTTGGCTTCGACACTCGTCTGTTACTCAGCAACGCAGCCGAAGCTTTCAGGCAAACACAACAGGTCTCAGAGTGTGTATCCATGTTCGGGGAGTCAAATGTGTGAACACACACCATCAGAGCGCTGCTCTTACAAATCACGTGGACAGAGATGTTTGTTTTCATGCAGCAAGGATGTAATCTGACTCAAAATAGGAAAGAAAAAAGTCTGTGAGGCAAACCTAATTCACAACTCTTGTTTTCTAAGTTTGGTTAGATTGTTGAAGCACTTCTAAATCTTGAATTTTTTGGATTTCTTAGAGCAGAGGTCTTCAAAGTTTTGCAGGCCAAGGATCCCCAAACTGATGGAGCGGGGACACCCTAATTATATATATACCGGTAGTATGAAATTGTGTTATATCAAACTGGTCCTATAGTCACTCTATTACAGATGGAGTCATGTTACCAAAGGAATTTCTCCCTGGGATTATTAAAGTATTTCCTATTCTGATTCCTGATTAATGGGACAGGTGTTGTGAATAAAACGGTGCCCAGATTAAAAGAGCTCCTGTGTGTTGCTGAATGTTTGCATTGGTGACTGAAAGCAATCTTCTGCTTCCATTTATCTGTTTAATGCAGTGTGTTGAATTCATGTTTATGTGGATTTAAAGATATTTCAGTTAGTGGAAAAATTTGCAGGGGGGATAAAAATAAAAAAAAAGTCCTATCAACCAAAACTTTCGCGATCCCCATGCAGTACCTCCTGGGACCCCCTATGTGTCGTGGACCCACTGTTGAAGACCTCCGTCTTAAAGAATTACATATCCTCCTTTCAGCTGTGTTTTTCTTGTTATAACCACAAACCTCTGTGTATGGAGTTATAAATAAGATGTTTTTATGAGCTGGATCATAATATTGTACGTATATTTGTAAAGTTGAGGAAAAACAGCACCATGGATTTTAATTTTATCTGCTGTAATCTTCAAAAAGCATTGCATATTTATACTGCCCTTAATTCAAAGTTATCAAATCTGTCACAGATTATCTGCTAGATTTAGGTCTTTACTTTAATTAGGCCATTCTAACATATTCATCTAAACCACTAGGATTTTGTACTGGTCTGCAGAAGAAGAAAAAAAAGCTAGGTTTCACTATTCCGGTGGGGACTTTCTGTTGACCTCTATTCATTTGTGGGTGAGTTATACAGCCTAACTTGGACCCTTACCCTGCACCTAATCATTACAGGTACATATCTAACACTAACCAAACCTATTCAGACCTTAGTCCTAATCCTAACACCTAAGCTTAAAACAATAATCTTTCCCAATGGAAGCTGATGGAGGTCCTCATAAGGATGGTTGGTCCGCACAATGTAGCGGTTTAACAGAAAATTGTCCTGGCCTTGTAGGAAAAACCAGTGAGACCTTTCAGTCTTTTTTACTCTTGTGACTCATGTTGCTCAAACTAATGTGTCAGTAACTGGCTTATGCTCGACGGATCAGGAAGATGATTTTCTCCTTTGAATCAGTTATTCATTGCTCCCAGAGTAATTGGAAAACTGACTTTAACCAGTTAGGGGAAACATTGTTAGTTTCCTCATTCAGTGTGGCTTTAGGACCAGCTGCTGTTTTACAGGGAGAGTTGTAATCAGTTTTAGTGCAGCAGGTAACCCCCACCTGCCTGGTTCGCTTGGCCTTTTCATTCCCTTTAGCAGATTAAAAACAGTCCAGCTTGGAAATCAAAGCGCTGTGATGCAGTCTTCTACTTTTAAACCAAATAAATTAGTAAAAGGGGAGATATTTGAATCCACAGTTACTGAGCAGTTTCTGGAGCTGTTCTTTGGCTTTAATTCAGGTGATAATCAGCTTTAAAACTTCCTGCATTGCAGATCTGTTATATCTCTTCACCCCAAGTCAAGTCTTCAGAAAGGAAAATTCATAAATAGTGTTGACAGTTAAAAATCATATCCCTGTATATCATATATTGTACTATACAGAGTTGTGTTAATAGCTTTTTGATAATCAGTCGCCTTGGATTAGAGGTAAAGATTCGTTTGGTTTCAGGAAACATATTGTCTCCTTGCAGGAGCCTCTGGAGATCATATC